GGTCATCCCATATATATATATATATATATATATTTGTAGCAAGCTAGCTATATATATATATATTATATATAACAGTATAGTCCAGTCCATATATATATATACCCTCTACCGGTCTGGTGCCTCTTTTGGAGGAAAGGCCATGTTTCGGCATCTGCAAAATGGCCATGTGCAAAATACGGCCCTTTGTTTAAAATACGCCCTTTGTGTTTTTGGGCAAAATTCACCATTTCCAAGTTTGTAAGGATTTTGCCTCACCCATAGTCATGCACTCCTTTTCATCGCTAGAGATGTGGCCGAGCTGATCAACTTGCCACCGATCTTGGCTGAAACCATCGCAAGAGCTTTGAAAGTGTTCACAAAGTACTGCAAAAATTAACACACATGACAAGCTATGCCTTCAAGATTTATCCAAGATCTGGATATGCATTCAGACCACGCTGGTCTGCAGCAGATTGCTTCAATGATACCTGAATTTTTATCAGGCTTCGCCACAAAATGCTTCTGTGAGCCTGCCTGACATTTGTCGACCTAGAGACCTTCGAAGGCTTTCCTATGAAATCCTCCTCCTGCTGGCATGCTGTGGCCAACGGAGAAAGAATCCATTCGCATCTGGACGACAAGCGAAGTAGCTTGAGGGCTGTATGACATAGCATGTGTGACTTTGGATAAACAGGGAATCGGCGACGGCCACTTACCAAAGTCAAGTGAGCACAAACGGCAAAATGCCCCAAGAAGGAGAAGAGCCACCGGGACACCTGCCGAGCATTTGATGCTTGCAGCCAGAGCCCATTCTCATAGAGGTAGGTGACGGCAATGTTGACCGCCTTCGTCGCAGCAGCCTCAGCAAAAGCAGGCAAGAGGAAAGGAAGAAGCCAAAAGCCTGGGAAGAAGGACCTGGAATTCCTAGACCTAAAACACACAGGGATTCAACAAACAAAGGGCTGTCACGGGGTTGCATCAAAATTCGATGGATCGGTCTGGATCACCTGTCTTTTGATATGGATCAGGAGTATGGATCGGCCTGTGGATTCGGGGTATGGATCGGGGTTTACATTTTGACTCGCATATGCAGTCCAAGAACAATTGCTTTCATCAGAGGGTCGGTCGCATCTGCAAGATGGCCTTGGCACAACCAATCCAGGAATCTCATGATTTGAACTGTGGCCATTCCCTTGTTCCATTTTGCAGCTGGGCAAGCACTGCTCATAGGCCAGCACACTGTGTCTCGTGACAACTCACTTACCCATGGCTTGGATCGCCGTGTGCGGAAAAAGTCTTGATACATCCCGGTAAGCCTTTCAAACTTTGCCTCAACAGATCTACATCCATCAAAAAGAGGCAATGGAGGGTCAGCCTCAACCAGACACACCAGAGCAGAAGATGTAAAGGACTTCAGCACCCCCAAATGCACATTGTGGAAAAAATCTGTCTCGAAGAAATCGATCGCTCGTTGGTCATCCAAATCCAAGCCTTCCAAAATGGTAGGAGCGACCTCCCACGGCAACGATGTGCCCATGGTGTCCTCCCAAATTGGCTGCATAGTCACGTCCTCATACGGCAGTGCAACACGATTGTTTCTGTCATCCTGTTCCTGGCCTGCTAGACATTTCCAACAGATTCCACGGCAGGGTTTCCTCGATGACGCTGCCTTCGGTGCATGTCCAAAGGTTCGGGTAAAACGTCCAACCTTTGAAAGGGCTGGAAGGTCACCTTTGTGGGCAAGGTGGCAGAACCAAACTTTCTCATCACCATGACCAAGACCTTCATGCAAAAGGCTTCTGGCATCAGCTGCGAATGCCGACAACAAAGTTGAAAGGGCCTCTGGGCTAGCCACATCCTTCATCATGGTTGCTATCAAGCAGTGGGTGCTCCACGTGTTCCCTACATAGTTGAGTCCCTGTGCATTCCGTCGAACAGGGGCCCGGTGCTTATTCTTCTTCAAGAAAGCCAGCGTCCCACGACCAATCACTCCATGGGTGTTTAACACCCACAGGGCCCCATCACGAAAAGTCCTTCCCTCGTCAGAATGAGAGTAATATGGGATCAAACGGTCGCATGAAATAACTCCAGCCCTCTCGAGCGAAAAAACTGGGTGTCCTGGGTCCATCCCTCGGTATCGTTCCCAAAACTCGGCTAAGACTCCTTTCATCTTCTGAAAAGTTGGAACCCCAACCATTTGACGAGGTAGCGCATGGATGTCCAACAGGTGCTTTGCCCAGCTGGATAGCTTCATCCATGGGAATTTTTTCAACTGTTTTTCTTCACCCAAATCAATCCATGAAAGTCCGATTGGGGCACTGTAACCATGTTGAACCAACACCCGCCGTGCACCAACTTCAGCATCAGCCTCCCTAATGGAAGCGAAATCCCGCATCGCATGGGATGCACGCGGATTGCTATCCACCTCATGCTTCGCGATCTGCACCACATGTTTGCAGCAGGCCTCAGAGTGCCAGGAGTGAAATCTAGAGACAGGAACTGTGAAACATGATATTGCGCAGTGAAACGCCAGGAGAAAACTGGTCAGTCTGTTTGTGTTGATATGCTCAGCACTCTTGCTTGAATCAGCCTGAATCTTTTTTTGGCACCACTCGCTATGGCTAGAATGCACTGTCAACCCACTCTACGCCGTTGGTCAGCTCGGCCACCAGTAACATAAACATAATAGGGTCCTGGGGCTCTTTCACTTCTGTTAAGGGCACCCTCACCCCCTGTACCCTCTTTGTTTCGGCATCCAACATGCTTATGAAATTCCATAACTAATGCTGCTTCCAGCATATGAATAAGATCAATGCTGGGTGAAACTGCAATGACCCACATGGCATGGAAACCCAGGTCCATGTACCCTTGGTATCGTTTGATGGGATTTGAAGTGACTCCCACCTTGAAGACGCAAATCCTAATGCCAATTTTTTGGCGGAAACATGTCACAGCTTCTGTACAATGCAGCAGGATCTTTCCGCATGTGGCTCTCGAAAACTGGGCTGGCAATAAACATTTGTTCAATAAACCAAATTTTTTGACATTTTGCCAGTCAAATGAACAGGCTGCAAATGATTCTGCCAAATCACTGAGATGTTGCCGTTCATCCTGAGCACATGCAGAGGGAGCCGGAACCCAACAATAACAGAGTAAAAAAAATCACATTCCAGTGAGTTTGACAACCGGTTCAATATTTTGATATTACCAGTTTAACCGCTTGATAACAAATTGGCTACGAATGTACCATGCTATTGGTTCTAACTTACAACACTTTGCTCTGAGTAGCTGCAGTGGTGGCCACATGCGATGGAGGACAGCTTGGCTGGGCGTCTGCACTGGAAGCTGTTTCCAAAGCAGCTGAACCCCTAATAAAATAGTCCATGTAGGGTTCAACTTCTCCCGAAAGATCTTGAACTTCTCTGGTTTTTTCCAGCTTCATTTTCCTAAGTTGTTTGTTTGGACAAAGGTTTGGGAATGCAACTGGAAGTATTGCAGACTTGTTGAAGCTATCCCGGTAGATAGTTGGAACCCTGAGCAGCCAAGGCACTTTGAATATAGTTGACCATTCTCACATCCAGCGATCCGCTTTGCCCCAGTGAAGGGACACTCATAAGTAAGCAAGTCGACGAGATCTTCCATGGGGGTGAACTATGGGACTAAAAGAGAAGCATAGTCGAACACATATACTTATTGCAAATGATAATCGAGATATAGATTCCACATACCATAGTAATGCAATGGATGTAACATGCCCCTTGGCTATAATAACTATTTGTTTAAATGTGATTCCTATAGTGTTCCCAATCGAGGTTGATAACCCAGATCAAAATGTTAGGCCGGCAATATGTTTGGTTTGTGCCAGTTTTTCCCAGTGAGCCAAACTGTGGGGCCGAACAAGTAGGGCAGCTGAAACTTGAACTGCGCAATGCCCCAGGACTTCGTTGAGGCCGCGGCTCCATCTGCAATCAGTTTGGCCAAGCCCTCAAGGACAAGATCTCTGTCATTTTCACCTGGCATGGGCAATGAGGGGTGGACACTAAACCTTGTACTTCGGGATATGTATATGAAGAGAGGGGAATAGTTTTTCCATAGTTTTCCCAAATGCTACTTGCATCGCACCAGATCTGTTTTCCTACTCTCTTGCGATCATGCTCATTGATATCTCACGGTCACTGCGCTGCCGTGTGTTGCTTTCTGAGCTAACACACATTGAGTCTCACATGTAAAGGACATGGGAAATCCCACATCTTCCAGACTTCAGCCGCATCCCAAATATAAACAAAGTTTTGATTAATTAGTAAGATGCTATATATTGAAAAATGTTTTGTTTCTTGAAGTTCCAGTGGTGATCCAGGACTATGGCTGGTGGCTGGAAAAACCCAAATTTGTTTTCATCGAAGCAAATCACATACAGAATCTGATCTGCATGTGGCCATACCCGGTATCAAAATCCAAACCTAAAGAGGATTTCCCCCCTAGGTCACCAAGGCTCAGAAACTCAGGGTTCACTCATTCCCTTTCTTCACCATCTTGAGCACATTCCTGGGGCTCTGGAATGATGGATGAGTGGGGCAGTACTAATTGGGGAAACATACAGGTAATGACCAGGTGCAAACGTGTAAGCCAGTAGTGGGACACCTGTGATCATGTTGGTTTCATTGGCTAAAGTATCCAAGGATCTTAGCACCAACTTCGGTAGTGGTGACCTTCGAGCACCTAAGATGCAACATCCACTGAAGCCATTGGCCTGAGGCCAAACAGAAACCAGAAACCTGAGTGAGTGAAGTCAAGGCACACAGCTGTTGTCGCACGGATTTGCTTGTCAATCTTGTCCATCAGACTTAGTTAGATCAAGGAACTTGGGGGAATGAAACCATGGGATCGGGTCTCAAGACCCCATAGGTTCTCCAAGTATACTTGGAGGACGTAGGGATTGAACATGTTGGACATATTCAAAAGCGAACATGATCGATAGGCGATGCTGTTTGGGCATGAAATTTAATAACATTCTTTTTAAATCAAATCTCTGGAAATATAGTTCCACCAAGGGACACCTTTTGGTCAGGCTCTGGGAGGTTCTTATTGGACAAGCCTCCCACATCGATCTTGACCAACTCACAGGCCTGGAACTGGGCATCGAGGGTCTCGATGGCTTGCTCCAAGCCTTGCACAGACCTCAGCAAGGGCGAAGGAAGGAACTGGTAGGCCCCATGGGCACATGACATTACTGTTTTTTTTTGGGCATGGAAAAATAAGTGTGGGACTTTGCCACACGCTTCCCTTCAGAACTCTCAGGGTTCTTGTCCCCAAGTTCGGACTCCAATTGGCCAATCAGTTCAGATAGCTTAGAAGAACGGCTCAACAAGCTGGATGTGAACGTTGAGAATCGTTGCAACTCCTCTCGGTTTGAATGATTGGGTGGCTATAGTTATAGAGTGTGGGGGTTGCATTTTTTCATCTATGAACAATAAAGAAACTACACACGAAGATCCTTCTGCCCATGGTTGACGACCTTTGCATTGGCCTCCTTTTCATCGTCATCATCATCATCCTCTTCAGTATCATCATCCCTGGGGTTCCCAATTCGCAAGAACTCAACCTCCTGGCCATTGGCATCCTGCATGGTTTGAGGTTGGCTGGAAGAGGTGGTGGACAAGAACATGAAAGACACAGCTGGACGATTGGAAGGCACAAGGCCTCCGCAGTCTCGTGTCGGCGCTGTTCTTCGTCTTCAGAAAGATCCTCCTCCTCCTCTTGGTAAACCACATAGTAGCGCTTGAGCTTCTTGTTGTACCGGTCACGCCTTTGGGCGTTACAGCTAGGTTAGCCCCCGAAAGAACGGTGAGTCATAGAGCTTTTCCATGTTTTTAATTTAGCCCATGCAGCTATGATCTTTGAATAGTATTGATACAGTTATCCATATATTATTCATATCAATTTTGTGCTGGGGGAACCAATATTGGTATGTTATCCAAATGGTTGAACAAAGTCATACAAGGTGAGCAGGTTTAGCCAAGTGTCTTGCACAGGCGGTCGTTCCCAGTCTTTTCACAGAAATCGACAGCACACTTGATGTAGGACCTGAGATCTCAACCCATTGGGGGTTAACTTAATGTCATATGTTTGGGAAGATGCCCACTAACCAAACACACAAAAAGAACATGGAATGAACCATTGATATCATGTGAGAAGAGGGGCGTGCTCCAACCCAAAGTCTTGGCCATCTCTTCCTTTGTAAACCACCCTCGTTTTTTGCGCCGGGACAGCTTCTTGTTCTGAGAGATCACTTTGGTAATTCGGGAAATGAACATGTCCTGCATAGGCAATGTGATGGCCCATGGGACTATGAATAAAGGTTTTCATTTTTCAAAGTACGACAAATGCTGACAATCCAATTGTTTAATAAGAATGATTTAAGAATGGGTCCTTGGACCAGTTAACTTTCTCCAGCTCTTCTATCATGGCTTCCTTGTCCTCCTTAGACCCATGCTTCCAGCGTTCGTGAACGGAAGCGGGAACCTGGCATTTTCCCGACGGCTTCACTTCGCACAGGCGGCGCAAACGGTTGAGTTTGGCGCCTTCAGTTGCAGGCGGTGGCCGGTCACCAGGGGGCATAATGACCTTTTTGGCCTTCGGGTCCCCCTTTGATCCCTGAGCAGTTTGGGAAACTGGGGTAGGTGATCCCTTTTCGGGTGATGGTGCTGACACTTTCGGGGGTGGAGTCTTGAAGTTGTCTACACGCTTCGTGTTCTCCTTAAGCTGTTGCAGCTCCAATGCCATCTTTCGATTGGCCTCCAGGGCACATGTTGCAAAGTAGGTAAATAGATTGGGGTAAACAGAAGAATCAGCACACACGTGTAAAACTATGTAAAATTGGTGAAAATAAACCAGCTGATAGGCCTCTTGTAACTCCTCAATTATCTTGCTCTCGTTGGGGGGCTGTTTCCCCTTCAATCGCTTCAAGGGTTGAGGATTGGGAGACTTCAGTGGGGAAGGCTCTGGAGACTTAGGGGCTGCCTTTGCTTTGCAGCTGGCTCTGACAGGGGTAGGGACGGCTCTGGTCTTGGCGGCTGCTGCTTTGCGGGCAGCGGGAACTGGCTTATTCTTATTCTCTTTGGTCTTTGAAGAATCCTTTGCTTGGGCCAATTCTTCTTCGGTGGCCTAAGATATTTAAAAAAAAATCCTGACATCACAATATGTTGGTAGCCACTGCTAGGGGTATCCTAAACACCTCTAACCACCAATGCTTGTAGCCAAGAAGCCGGTTGGGTATCATCTGTGGGGCCAGCATTCCCAGCTGCTGCATCTGCCGAAGTAGCCTTAGATGGATTGCCAAGGCAGCAGGTTAAACAGGTGAACTTTAAACCCATCTTGCAATATTTTGGGTTATATCGTATGTCGTATGCATATCTCACCAACCCCCCTTGCAGAAAACATGAACTTCTATCTAAAGGACCTACCAATGGTGCTTTGAGTTTAGTTGTAAGCTATTTGGATTTCCTTAAGCCAAGAAACCTTGGCAACCTGTTTTTTCATGTCTTCAAGTTGTCGTTCATACTCCTCCGCTGTGCGGGCAACGCTGATGATTTTACAAGAGATTGGGTAACATCTACATATCCAACACTGGGGTGTGAAGTCCACATGATCCAGGATTATTGTAATTACTTTTCTTGTTGATTTGATTGGCCATGGTTAACATTTTGATGTTGACCATATCAAACATGATACATATAGCACCCATGGGTTGGCTCCTGAATCTTCAAAGCCAAATCATCTTCGACTTCATTTTTCACCGCTAAGAGCTTGGCCTGACCTTCCTTCAACTCACTGCATGACCATTGCTTGGACGGGACAGCCCGGGGACGCTTGGTGGTCATCCCTCCAACAACAGCAACCGGCAGGTGGTTACCTACCAGTTGCACAATGCCTGGAACCCTAATGCCTGGATCGGATGTGGGTAAAATCAGGTTTAGGCCTTGTGATTTTGATACATCCATGTAAAAAACATGTCAACATATAGTATCCATCCCAAAATCATCAAAATCCACCCAAAAAGACCCAAAATCACATTGAGGTTGCAAAACGCGCGCTATTTGAATTTCAAAAAAGCAGCCACTTGCAGCCACTTGCAGCCACTCGAGTGGCCGCAAGTGGCCGCAAGTGGCCGCTAGGGCCTGGCAGCCACTTGCAGCCACTCGCAGCCACTCGCAGCCACTCGCAGCCACTCGCAGCCACTCGAGTGGCCGCAAGTGGCCGCAAGTGGCCGCTGGGGGTCTCTAGAACAAGTGCTGGCAGCCACTTGCAGCCACTCGCAGCCACTCGCAGCCACTCGCAGACGCTTGCAGCCACTTGCAGCCACTTGCAGCCACTCGAGTGGCCGCAAGTGGCCGCAAGTGGCCGCTAGGGGGCCGCAAGTGGCCGCTAGGAGTCTCTAGAACAACTGCATGGCAGCCACTTGCAGCCACTCGAGTGGCCGCAAGTGGCCGCAAGTGGCCGCTAGGAGTCTCTAGAACAACTGCATGGCAGCCACTTGCAGCCACTTGCAGCCACTCGAGTGGCCGCAAGTGGCCGCGAGTGGCTGCGAGTGGCCGCAGGCAGCTGTCGGAGCAAGTGGCTGCAAGTGTCCGCAAGTGGCTGCTTGGATTGCAAACCCCTGTCCGGAGGGCCACGTTCCTCAAAACTTGAAAAAAATCAATTTTCCTGCAAACAGGATTTTTTTCAAGTTTGCCTTGCAACATCTAAAGGAAGGCAGTAACGCAAAAGGAGGCCAGAGGTGAAACGAAAGGAAGACGTTAACGCAAAAGAAAGACCAGAGGTGAAACGAAAGGAAGACGTTAACGCAAAAGGAAGGCCAGAGGTGAAACGAAAGGACGACAGTAACGCAAAAAAAAGGCACCAGGTGAAACGAAAGGAAGACAGTAACGCAAAAAAAAAAGGCACCAGGTGAAACGAAAGGAAGGCGGTAACGCAAAAAAAAAGACCAGAGGTGAAACGAAAGGAAGGCGGTAACGCAAAAGAAAGGCCAGAGGTGAAACGAAAGGAAAGCGGTAACGCAAAGAAAGACCAGAGGTGAAACGAAAGGAAACCGGTAACGCAAAAAAAAAGACCAGAGGTGAAACGAAAGGAAGGCGGTAACGCAAAAGAAAGGCCAGAGGTGAAACGAAAGGAAGACGTTAACGCAAAAGAAAGACCAGAGGTGAAACGAAAGGAAACCGGTAACGTAAAAAAAAAGACCAGAGGTGAAACGAAAGGAAGGCGGTAACGCAAAAGAAAGGCCAGAGGTGAAACGAAAGGAAGACGTTAACGCAAAAGAAAGACCAGAGGTGAAACGAAAGGAAACCGGTAACGCAAAGAAAGACCAGAGGTGAAACGAAAGGAAAGCGGTAACGCGAAAGAAAGGCCAGAGGTGAAACGAAAGGAAACCGGTAACGCAAAAAAAAAGACCAGAGGTGAAACGAAAGGAAGGCGGTAACGCAAAAGAAAGGCCAGAGGTGAAACGAAAGGAAAGCGGTAACGCAAAGAAAGACCAGAGGTGAAACGAAAGGAAACCGGTAACGCAAAAAAAAAGACCAGAGGTGAAACGAAAGGAAGGCGGTAACGCAAAAGAAAGGCCAGAGGTGAAACGAAAGGAAGACGTTAACGCAAAAGAAAGACCAGAGGTGAAACGAAAGGAAACCGGTAACGCAAAGAAAGACCAGAGGTGAAACGAAAGGAAAGCGGTAACGCGAAAGAAAGGCCAGAGGTGAAACGAAAGGAAGACGTTAACGCAAAAAAAGACCAGAGGTGAAACGAAAGGAAGACAGTAACGCAAAAAAAGGCACCAGGTGAAACGAAAGGAAGGCGGTAACGCAAAAAGAAGACCAGAGGTGAAACGAAAGGAAGGCAGTAACGCAAAAGAAAGGCCAGAGGTGAAACGAAAGGAAGAGGTTAACGCAAAAGAAAGACCAGAGGTGAAACGAAAGGAAGACGGTAACGCCACGAAAGGAAAGGTAACGCAAAAAAAAGGCACCAGGTGAAACGAAAGGAAGACGGTAACGCAAAAGAAAGGCCAGAGGTGAAACGAAAGGAAGACGGTAACGCAAAAGATAGGCCAGAGGTGAAACGAAAGGAAGACGGTAACGCAAAAAAAAAGGCACCAGGTGAAACGAAAGGAAGACGTTAACGCAAAAGAAAGGCCAGAGGTGAAACGAAAGGAAGACGGTAACGCAAAAAAAAGGCCAGAGGTGAAACGAAAGGAAGAAAGGCCAGAGGTGAAACGAAAGTAACGCAAAAAAAAGGCACCAGGTGAAACGAAAGGAAGACAAAAAAAAGGCCAGAGGTGAAACGAAAGGAAGACGGTAACGCAAAAAAAAGGCCAGAGGTGAAACGAAAGGAAGACGTTTGAAACGAAAGGAAGACGGTAAAAAAAAGCCAGAGGTGAAACGAAAGGAAGACGTTAACGCAAAAAAGACCAGAGGTGAAACGAAAGGAAGACGTAACGCAAAAGAAGGCCAGAGGTGAAACGAAAGGAAACGGTAACGCAAAAAAAAGGCACCAGGTGAAACGAAAGGAAGACGTGAACGCAAAAGAAAGGCCAGAGGTGAAACGAAAGGAAGACGGTAACGCAAAAAAAAGGCCAGAGGTGAAACGAAAGGAAGACGTTAACGCAAAAGGAAGACCGGAGGTGAAACGAAAGGAAGACGGTAACGCAAAAGAAAGACCAGAGGTGAAACGAAAGGAAGACGTTAACGCAAAAGGAAGACCGGAGGTGAAACGAAAGGAAGACGGTAACGCAAAAGGAAGACCAGAGGTGAAACGAAAGGAAGACGTTAACGCAAAAGGAAGACCGGAGGTGAAACGAAAGGAAGACGTTAACGCAAAAGGAAGGCCAGAGGTGAAACGAAAGGACGACAGTAACGCAAAAAAAAGGCACCAGGTGAAACGAAAGGAAGACGGTAACGCAGGTGAAACGAAAAAGGCCAGAGGTGAAACGAAAGGAAGACGGTAACGCAAAAAAAAGGCCAGAGGTGAAACGAAAGGAAGACGTTAACGCAAAAGGAAGACCGGAGGTGAAACGAAAGGAAGACGGTAACGCAAAAGGAAGACCAGAGGTGAAACGAAAGGAAGACGTTAACGCAAAAGGAAGACCGGAGGTGAAACGAAAGGAAGACGGTAACGCAAAAGGAAGACCAGAGGTGAAACGAAAGGAAGACGTTAACGCAAAAGGAAGACCAGAGGTGAAACGAAAGGAAGACGTTAACGCAAAAGGAAGGCCAGAGGTGAAACGAAAGGACGACAGTAACGCAAAAAAAAGGCACCAGGTGAAACGAAAGGAAGACGGTAACGCAAAAAAAAGGCCAGAGGTGAAACGAAAGGAAGACGGTAACGCAAAAAAAAGGCCAGAGGTGAAACGAAAGGAAGACGTTAACGCAAAAGGAAGACCGGAGGTGAAACGAAAGGAAGACGGTAACGCAAAAGAAAGACCAGAGGTGAAACGAAAGGAAGACGTTAACGCAAAAGGAAGACCGGAGGTGAAACGAAAGGAAGACGGTAACGCAAAAGGAAGACCAGAGGTGAAACGAAAGGAAGACGTTAACGCAAAAGGAAGACCAGAGGTGAAACGAAAGGAAGACGTTAACGCAAAAGGAAGGCCAGAGGTGAAACGAAAGGACGACAGTAACGCAAAAAAAAGGCACCAGGTGAAACGAAAGGAAGACGGTAACGCAAAAAAAAGGCCAGAGGTGAAACGAAAGGAAAACGTTAACGCAAAGAAAGGCCAGAGGTGAAACGAAAGGAAGACGTTAACGCAAAAGGAAGACCGGAGGTGAAACGAAAGGAAGACGGTAACGCAAAAGAAAGACCAGAGGTGAAACGAAAGGAAGACAGTAACGCAAAAGAAAAAAACAGAGGTGACGAACAAAACATATGGACTTTTTCTTTCCAATGGCTCCGATGGGCCGTATAATGGGCCTCCAATGGCTCCGATGGCCGATCTCGTCGCGGAGCACAGTCCAAGAGTTTAGCTTGAACATGTGCAATGCGGTTGCCTTGTTTCATTCAGTTCCCGCCCGGTTTCTTTCATTTTCGACTAGTGTGAGGCAGCCAGTCCTAGCGGTTTGTGCAGGCCGTATAATGATCAGCACTTCCGCTGCCCAGGGTCCTCAAATACATTGGTGATGAAAAACCCATTGGTAGAGGCCCCAAGAAATACAGAATTAGAATGCATTCGATAGGATTAGAATAATATGGTCTAATGAAGTTTACTGTTGATATACATATTTGGGATTGTTGTAAATTGTTGTGTTTTCCCTACCAGCGCCGGAACTTCTACGGGAAGTTCCAAGCGGAGAAACAACTTGTTTCGGCTGTGGCTTGCACGGGAACCAACGCTGTTCAAAGTTTGCTTGGTGGTGACACAGGCATTGTCTTGGCGATTTTTGGGCTTAAGACTACACAAGCGGGTAGGTGCAGCAAAGTTAATGTGGATTGAAGACCGATCAGCGCACTTTGTCATGACACTAAGGGTTGATCGATGTGCTACAGGAAGCATCGAATTT